AAAAATCAATTCGAGGGGGGGGGGGTGGGGGGGGGTCTGAATTGAGCGATCAATTATTAGACCCGGACGTCCCAACACTTGCTTCGCAAGACAAACTCAAGGTATCCCCTAAAGGGCTACCTTTCGTGATATACATTACATGACCAAAGCACGCAACGTCGACATCTTGGTCTACGTGGACGACTTTATGCAATCAACACCGGAATCAAAACCGGAGCAACAGAGGCCTTGCACATAAGGAACCTCTTACAAGAACTACTGGACATCAAGAAAGTGAACATCAAAATACACTGCACACAGACAGACTCATCAAGCGGGCGGCAAAATCATTGCAACACGCATAGGAGCATCACGAAAAGCAAAGTGCATCGACATCAAGCATCTCGTCATACAACAATTTGCCGCACATGACTTCGTGCGAGTGTTGAAAATCAACACACTCAACAACCCAGCAAACATATTCACCAAATACCAGCGTTGGGCTCGTGTCCAACACTGTCACCTCTACTAGCTGACAACACTGCACAAGAGTTTCACCAACATGGTACCAACAGCCAATGTAACAGTGCATGTGCGTGAGCAATGCAACGCACGTATGCACAACATACTTGTTTTCTGTGGCAGTGGGCCGCAACAGAGAGTTCAGCGGACTTCAAGCGGAAGTTCGTCAACAAGCTTTTTCTGTCTAAGACAGCAGCATTATGTGTTTGAAGGAATTCAACATTTTCGGGAGTGCAACATCTTTTTCTGCATGGCTATGTCAACAATTTGTTGACAACATCGACCGCCGCAGCCATTTGCTCAACAGGACGGGATCAACAAGCCAGAGATTCTTCAACAAGAAAAATTGCCAGGAATGGCCAGAACTCTTGCCAAGTCGGAGTTGCCAACAGGTCCTTTGGCAACAACAATGGAGCCAACACACACGATGAAAGACACGTGCATCACACCTCAGCTAACAACGCCATTGGGAATGGCAGCACCAGACTTGGATGCAGATGATTGGCACCAACAAGCCAAAATGGCCAACAAAGGGCTATAATGGTGGTTGGCGCTGACCACAGAAGAATTCAACAGCCTCAAGGATGGCAACAGCCGGGCTCCAACAATCGGAGGACAACTCCGAATGCCATTCTTCCACAAAGTGATCCTCAACATCACTCCTGTCAATGCCCTATACAAAATGGTGTATCACATCAGTGAACACCATGTTGTAACAGAAGACGGCAACACCTGGTACCTTTTGGCATTGGATCTCAGCAAAATGCAAGAGGCATTTCGACTCAGCCTCAACAGCATTGAACAACACAGTTCAACAACTATGCAAAGGAGATCAACAACTGGCGCTGTGAGCAGCGCCCGCCGACACCTCCAACGGATGTCAACATGGAAGATGTATCCCAACTCAGTGGCAATACTATGGCGGCACAACAGGGCAATGGAGAGGTAGTCAACATCCCGGTGGAGTATGTCAGGCCAGCAACATCGGGTGGAGCTCAGCCAACACCCTGACCAAAAGGGTCAAAACAACAGAGCTTTTGGCAACAGCATTCTGAGCGGGCTGAATTCAACAGACCAATGGCCAACACCTGCGGTTTGCAACAGGTGTATAAAGATCAACAAGGCATGTCAACAACTCTTTTCAACATGTTTTTTTTGTGTCGGCTGCAATTTCAAAAGGACACAACAGCCGAGGGGGCGTGTAAGTTAAGAACCTACATGCTTACTGTACAACGCCTAGGTCAGCAGCATGTGTCCGAATCCGCCCAAGACTGTGGAAGAAAGGTGCAGTAGGAAAAATCTGATGCATTTCTTGCTGTCTGGATGTGTCTTCTGGATTTTTGAAAAGTGCAAAACGTGTATTTGGTTCAGGGTTGGAATCCTTGACTGTCTCCCATTGCTTTTCTCACTGCCTCCTCTCATCATATCCCCTCCTATCATCCTCTACCCCCAAGAAACGAACCAGAGTTTCTATCCATGAGAACCGAACCGAACTGTGAGCCACCAGGAACCGCGCTCTAAAAGCTTGTAGAAACGAAACCAAACCAACTCCAACTTCAAGGGCACCTTCTCTCGCAACGTCAACTTCTGCTGCAAGATTTTTACCCATTCCCATTCCTGTGCCTACAATGTCTGCGTACATCACAAAGGCATTCAGCAAGTCTTAGTTTTTGTCTAATATTTTTCATAGTTGCTATAGCTCTTGCACTGTGTCCTCTTGGCATGCAAAGAGTGCTGCTGAATATGCCTTTTTGGTAGGTTGCATAGCCTCGCGCGAGGAACTGTTGGCCACACAACTTAAAAAATAACACATCCTTCAAAAACCAGCGTCAGCGGTGTAGCCTCCTCAAAAAGGCTCAAGACGGTCAGCACCCACTTCCATTCTCCAGCCACCTAGTTGGACCAAGGTTATTTCCCGTGCACCACACAATGTCCAAGCCTGTGAAACCCTTTGGAACCCCCGACCTGACATGCCTCGAGGACAGACTCGTACACCGTGGAAGTCACGGGCCGATCATCCTGGAACCCCAATGCGCAACCGTGAGACCTAAGCCCTAAGCCTTCAAAAGCAAGCTGCCAAGTCAAGCCTTGATCATGTCCTTCAAAAAGAAGAAGGCCTCTGACAAGATTGAAAGGTTGAACATACCAAACCCACTGTGTGAAACACACGGAGAGACTGAGAGCCGTCTTGATTTGCGTGGCGTGCCGGGTCTTGGCTTAACGCCCAATTCCAATGTCCAGCCAGACTGCAATCCAGGATCAAAGCCTCAGAGCAACCCAAGGGAATCAAGTGTGATTGACAAGTGTTTTTTACACAAACCAAACACAACAAAACATCACAAAGCAAACAAAAGGAAAACTACACGACGGCTGGCCCGGGAACGTGGAAGGAAAGCTTATGTGGAAGAGGGCGTACCTAGACCTAGTAAGAGATGTGCAGTCCATTTGAGAGTTTGATAGCTGCAACTGTATGTAAGCTACAACACGCTACAAGTATACAGGCAGCTCGCACGTTTCTAGATTCTAGAGTGGTTGCTACCGATGTAGTAAGATGAGGCTCGTGGACACCGCCAATCATCCCGCTCCCCAGCGACACACCGAATTTACACCAGTGTGTTTTCCTTCCCCCAATGGCACGGACTCACGCAAATGCACTTTCCACTGTGGCCGTGCAAATGCACTTTCCACTGTGGCCGTGCAAAGCCGCACGGCACAGCGACATCACAGACGGAATTTGGCCATATAGCGCGCAACAGACTCGATACAACAATGTAACATTAATCACGCCGCGCATCATGGTGGGCGCCGCCAAGTTGCCAGTTCTCAAGCCACGCTGCTTCCCGCACTACATTTGCACTACCAAGCGACAGCTCCCAGAAGCTTCTTCCCACACTATATTTGCACTATACCAAGTTCCCATATCGACGACAGATGCACACGGCTCCACCTTCATTTCCGGCGACCTCTACTACCTTACTCCCCCGGGGGGGGTCAAAAATGTAACTTACAATTTTGGGCGTGTCAAAATGTAGGTTTTGGAAATGGTGAAATTTGAACATACAGGTCTAAAAAACATCCATCTGACAAGACAGGGGTCAAAATTGTAAGTTACATTTTTGAGCCTCATGTGTGTTCGTTCAGCCTGTACGCACTCAAAAATTGTAAGTGGCGGTTGAGGTCCGGCGGGGAACATTGCCGTCCGGAGCTGGCGGTTGAGGTCTGGCGGTGAACACTGCCGAGGGAAAGACAGATGGAAAGAAAGAGGGAAAGGGAGAAACCGAAAGGACCGAGGATTATTAGTGCGTACTCTCCGCCTTTGCTCCCCACCTCATAAGTCTCTGTGTCAGGGCGCAGCTCCCACTTTATCGCCTCCTGCACAGGCCAGGGTCTGTGAAAACTCACGTCCAAATATGTTACATGAAAAGAAAGCATTTGGACGACTCAAAAATCCAAAACAAACAGTCAGGCCCCTCGTATTTCATGCGGCCCCCTTCTTACCCGTTTTGTTTTTATATACTTTCTCTTTTCTAGTATTCCCTTACAACGGACACTGAAAGGGTGCCCATGGATGCGCATATGCCACGCGAGTTTATTTTGCAGCTGGAATGTAAGGAGTGCCTTCATCAAAGAGATTGCATCCTCCAGCCGGTTGTCTCGCAAGCAGCACCTGATGGTAGTGCCTAGGGAATTGTCCAGTCTAGTTCTACCAATTCAAGCTTGTGAAGAAAGCTTGAAGCTGAAAGATGAGCTGACAAAGATTGCGACCATAGAGGGCTGTGTCGCTGTTGTGTCCTCACCATGGACTCAAGTAACGCAAAAGACGTCTACACTAAGAGCGAGCCTCCATGGCGCCATTCACCCAGAAGCTGCAAAGCATAAGCCTTGCTTCACACACTCACACAAACAAACGAACAGCAATGCATTGCGATGTTTGTCCTTCATAGTCTTATATATATATGTCAAAAAATGCACAACTCTTTTTTCTAAGGGCTCCGGCCCAAAAACAATTTTTCTCCAAGATCTGGATGGCCGAGCTGTAAACCACCTGAGACGAGGCTGTGGCATTAATGCAGCGCAGTCCAAATACTTTGTTAATTGCGGCGGCATTCGAACTCCTGTGATATTCAATACGCCCCGACGATAAAAGAAACCATCTGCCAAGTAAAAAACACATGTGCGTAGGAGTAAACCCTATATAATTGAACCGTTCGTCATGCCCTCACAAGCAGAACGGGGACTCTCGACAAACAGCCAGAGTGCTTGCCGGACGGCCGCAGAAAATATGTTCAAGTTCCTGAGGTTGATCCCCAAGATTCTACGTATTGACGTCCTAATTACTTTGCAAAACTGACTGTGAACTAGCAGATTCGGTGGTGCCCTAGATCTTTTGCAATGATATTCTGAAATCAGAGTCCTCACTGGGTTCGCAAAGAGATGGGGACTACGCAAATAGAACAAAATTCAAAATCCCACATACGCCTCTTCTGAATCCTGGGTCAGGTCGTGGGCTTTCGGGCGGCGAGGGTCTATTTATGTCTTTTCAAAACCCACAGGCTTAGTTATCACAGGTGTGCGTCTGCGGGCCGGGCTATCAAAAAGAAAATTAATATATATCAAAAAGAAAATTTCTATATCTTATCAAAAAGAAAATTAATTTGTATCAAAAACGACAATGTGGTGTGCATCCACCCTAAACTCAAGCAAGCTTTTCGACGCTGGTGTCAAAGTCGCATGTTCTTTCTTCATGCTATCCTCCACCCTTGCCACACTTCTTCTCCATATATTGGAGTGGGTGGGTGGGAAAACAACATGGTGGGGCCAGGGCTTGAGCCAAAATGGCGTACTCAGCCCTGGCCCCACCCAGCACACCAAAACTTGTCCTACAGAAAATGTGCCATTTTCTTCCACGACAATGTGGTGTGCGTCCACCCTAAACTCAAGCAAGCTTTTCGACGCTGGTGTCAAAGTCGCATGTTCTTTCTTCATGCTATCCTCCACCCTTGCCACACTTCTCCTCAATGCCCAGCGCAAGGGTCTTACATGTTTGACAGGTCACTGAAGTGATGTCCAGGCCGAAGCTGAAATTCGATGAACCGTAGGGCCAGCCGCACCTCGTGTGCCAAGCCGTCACAGGTGAAGCTACCGGTTGCCGCTTGTTCTCATGCACCAGACCGGCCCTCGATATCACCACGGGTGGAAGCAGACCTTGGTGCCGGATGGAGATTTCTTCCCATCTGTCAATGGATTCGTCCAGTTTGTCTTGCATCACTTTCAGTTGGTCAATCTCCTTCTTCAATTTGGCACCCGTTTCTTTCATCTTCTCCATCGCCTTCGTGTCCGTCTCCTTGGCCATCTGTGTCATGATCTCTGTTTTCGAAGGCGGCGTGCTCGTGTTCTTTCTCGTCCTAGCCATGACTGGCATGGTCTCGAGCGCTTCCTCCGCGTATTGGAGGATGACATTGGACTTCCATCGTCCCAGGTAAGCCACTTGAGGTACATGCCATCCCCTTCGAATGTATTGTAATGCTCCTGTCCTTCTGCCTGAATGACCGGAGACCTTCGTGCCGAACAGCTTCCTCCAGGCGCCCACGATCTGGCTCTTCTCCACTTCCCCATCGTCGTCTCCATGGGCAATTTTGTCCACTTCGATCGGGGTGTTGTCCAAAGCCGCTTTCGTGATGTTGAACGGGCAGGGTTCGGACCAATCGCACTCCTGGCAGTCGCATTGCAGAGTTCTTTTCAGGCCCAATGCTTCTTGATCTCCCTTCGAAATCCTCAGTGTCAATGATACGATTCGCTCCTTCGGCTCGATCACGATGTCCTCCTTGTGGATCGCTGCCAGTTCAACCTCCCTCAGCATCCAGGTGGTAGCGAATGCAAACATCAAAGCCGGGTTATGCACAGGCCCCTTCGTTGCTTCGTTTTGCTCGAGCCTGTAGGCTTCCATCCAGCGGTCCTGACCCACTTCCATGGCTTTCTTCGCCGGCCCCCTTGCCCGTTTCAGTGCTCTCGACGCCTGAATGAAAGCATGCTGCAACTGGTGGGTCCAGCTTTCGCCCTTCTCGATCAACATGTTCTTGTACTCGGCCAAGTAGGTTACGCCCGCTTTGTACTCGGAAGATCGGAGTACAGCGCCCACTTGTTCAAGTACATGTACAGACCAGCACTCTTGCAACCCCTTCACGCCCAAGTTGACCAAGATCTTGTTGACCGTGCGTCGGATGGATGCCTTCGCTCTCCTGGAGGAGTTCGCGTAGTATGCCCGCTTGAAGTCCTTCAAGGAGTCCATGTGCCTGCCCTTGTTCGCCCTGAAGCACCTTGCTGTTTGAATTGCTTTCCTCCATTTTTGGTTCGTCCCCCCTGGGACTTGGACCCTTAATGCTTGTGGTAAGTCTTGTCTCCTCGAGCTCACCTCTGCCTTTCGTTTCAGGCCTTAAGTGCCGATGAGGGCGATCACCAACCATTGCCACTGCAGCTCCCCTGGGCTTTTCCTTCTCTTCCCTCTTCTCTCCTTCAATCGTCTTGTGGGTGTCCTTCTTTCTCCTCGTGATGAAAGCTGCCAGGCCCCCTGCGGACTCTTCAAGGTGTCGGGAGTCCCACCATAGCGTCGGAGGTTGAGGGGGAAATTCCGGCTTTTCCTTCTCGCCCAGGTGACCTTCAACCTCGGTTTGCCATGCCCCTTCATTGAACTCGTAGAAGAGCTCGTTCACAGTTGCCAACTGTCCTTCGAGTTCAGCCTCCTCGTAACCAACCATAGCATGTCCCCTGACTCGCAGACTGCTTCCCTCAACGGTGGCGAGTTTCTCCCTTCCGAAGAGTCCACTTCCCTTCTCCTCGGCCTCCGATCCCCTGGTGACCTCATCGAGGAGGGGGTGTCCCTCTCTGTAGTTCTCATCGTATTCGTGGTCTCCCTGTGGGCCTCCCTGTCCAGTCGAGCCAGCATGTTCGCCCACGGTGTTGGCCCCGGGGACTCCAGGTGCCTGTGTCGAAGTCCATCTGTCGGGGTCCTCGTACTCGCCGTCCATGTCCCATGGCTCCTGCCAAGCTTCGTCCTCCATCTCCTCCGCCCCTTTCGAATCGCCCTTGGGACTCCGCGGAGGATTCAACAGGTTGCGTATCCACTGGCGACACAGCTTGTAGCCAAGCCAGGCTACCACGAGGTGGGTCAGTAGCCCGATGGCGATGAGGTAGCAGAGAGAGTAGAACTGCCATGGGTAGTGCCACCGAATCGGCACAAGCGGCGTGGCCGTCAAGGTGGTCGAAGCAACGACCTCCATCTTGGGCCCAATCTTCTCGTCTCGAACGGTAAAACCCGATCCTCAACGACGACGAGAAGCGGCGGTTGACGGCGAACCCGGATCAAAGAAAGGTGTACCCGTTCGCCCTCCCGCCCAACCTGACAAATCCTTGCACCTTTTCCTTCACGGCTCCCGTCAGTGACGGTATGCCCACGCCGCCAACAAGGCATCGGAGTCTGGCCATTCGGTGGAATCCGGTCCAGGCGGGCGCATGGTGTACCAGCCGACCGTCCGCTGCTCTGGCGTCTCGATCGTGATGCCCTCTAAAGCTGCCGGCAGTGTTGTCGTCGCCCAAGTGTCCGGGCGAGACAAGAAATCCGCCTCCTTGTTGGCTATCCCTGGGAGGTGGACTGGCATGATATCCGACAGTCCAAGGCCTTCGCAGGCCACTGCCAGTTCCGCTCTCAAGAAGTTGAGTGCTGAGCTGCTGTTTGAAAATTTTTGTGTCATGGCCAAAGCCGTGATTGAGTCCGACTGGACGGCTACCGATACGCTCACCGATGCCAGTAGCCGCCCCCCCCAGTGCTTGAGCGCCACCAGGATGGCCAGTGTCTCAACTATCCCCTGTGAACTCGATTCGCCGAGTGCGAACCCCAGGAGCTTCGAGTCCTGTTCCACCACTGGCGACGCGAGAGCCTTCGTCACCCTGCCGTTCACCAAGAGTAAGGCGCCTAGCCCCATCGGTGAAGCGTCGGTCATCAAGGTGGCTTCCGCTGCGCCGCTCTTGTACAAGCTGAACTTCCTGATCGGCCTGCTTTGGGCTGCTTTCAAATAGGCTACCAACCATCGTCTCGCTTCCTCGACCCGTTTGACCGCAACCAAGTGGTCCTTGGGGCGGTTGTCCTGTCGAGCTCGCCTTTCTGCTTCCAAGCCCTTCGCCACGTCCTCCTCGTGGTCATAGAGCGCTGCATACAGCGAGGACGTCACCCATCGTGCACGTGGTAAAATCCCCGCCAGCCAAGCCACACGTCCTGCCGCTTTCCGCAGTTCGTTCATCCCGATCATGCCCTTCTTCTCCCAGCTACTCAGCTGATCTTGAAGCTCTTTCATGAACTTCTCCGGCTGCAGCGTCACCAATAAGTGATCGTAGTCCGGGGCCACCAGCTTGAACTTCACCCCGATCCAAGTCACCGCTGCCGCCCGTTCGCCCTTCGAGAGTGACACTTTAAGGCCCAGTGCTGCCATCGTCGTGAGGATCAGGGCAAGGGTCTGGTTCCGGGTTGCCAGCTTCCCGCAGGAGTCGTCCAGGTATACCTGGCGCATGCCTTGATCCGCCGGGATGATCGCCTGCACAAACCTAGCCACCATCGCCGCCACCCTCGACCACGTCAGAGGCGCTGTCTTGTAGCCGAAGAGCAGTGCTACGAACAGTAGCCAATGTTCGTTGTCCAGCGCCGGCGCCAGGCAATGCCCCTTCTCCTCCTCCGCCATCGCCAAGTGCATGTAAGCGTCCGATATGTCGATCATGACGAGTTCCATCACCTTCGCCTGAGGGTCGGACACTTGGCTGTGGCTCGCATGCATGCGCCTCAGCATGGCTATGGCGTCCACTGGCCTCGGCAAGATCAGCCTCTCCGGCAAGTAGGCTTTGTCGTTGCCCCCTGACCTCTTCAAGTCGATGATGATGCGGCGTTTCGTGGATCCATCTTCTTTCTTCTTCACTATCAAGCCCAACTTCGAGACTGTCGTCTCTTTGAAGCCTGCCTTCTCTACCTCCTTCTTCGGGACCTTGATGACATATCCCAGT